TGACAAGTACCAAAAATGGCAATAGGTATAGACCAAAACAGCAAAGGAGTGAAACCAATGCCAAGACATAGCAAGCGCCGCCGGGCACGAGCCTCATTTTATAATTTTCTGAATCGTTTTGAAATTGTCCCAATCAATAAATAAGCAAATCAAATATGGTCTAGGCCTAGGCCTATGAAAACTTTCATAGACCATCACATCCTTGCATCATCTTGTTACTGTAAAATTTGTTTGCCCTGCCTTGTGCGACTTTTATCTGTTTTGTACAATATTTATTCTGGAAGTGTTGCCATTTATGTTTAGGCCTAGGCCTATTGCCATTTTGACTCAAACTACAGCAGGCTTTGCCGTTTTGGTCTTGCTGTTGAGATTCACTGCCGTTTTGGTCCATTGCCATTCTGGTCAAAAAGTATTGCTGTTTTGGTTTTTTGCCGTTTTGGTCATTGCCGTTTTGACTTAATATTATAGGCCCTTTTGGCCTAAGTCAAAACGGCAATATAAAGTCGGGAGTCTTATATTGCCGTTTTGGTTATTGCCGTTTTGTCCAGAAACCCACAGTCACTGGTATGATAGATACGAAGTAAAGTTGGATTTACATATAAGTACACAGTAATCAGTATGAATAAGCCCACAACGTGGAACCAACGTGGCCCTGTGTTGACACGTAGACCTAGGCCCAGTTAGCAGTCTCCAGATCCCAGTCCCGCAAGTGTTGTGTACTGTCGGTGTAGCCTAGCGTAGGCTAGGCCCTAGGCCTACTTACCTTTCGTTCCACATCAAGTGCCGCAACGACGGGTAATTTCGGAGATAAAACTGTCGTGAACCCGTGCCTGTGAAACCACCATAATCCACTAGTACTTAAAACACTGCATGCTACTATCTTCCACACTCTATTCCCTGACTCAGATGTTTGAAATCGTTTAAAAGCTTGACCACAATACTTCAAAACATTGCGAATTCTTTGACTACCTGAAGCTGCCATTTTGACAAGGGTAGTCACTGCGCATGCGCTCTAGATATTTCTCACGGTCTTTCCAAGAACGAACTTATTAAAGGTTGCAGTCAGGTCAAAATATTGTCTTTTTGTGAATGTTTCAAAAAATTGTTGCTCTTTTTTGTTTTTTAGTTATTACATGTTTATTCTGTTAGGGTGGCGGATCCAGGCATTTGAAATAGAGGGGACCCAAAGAGGAACTTTCACAGATGGAGGGTCGATTAATACTACCTCAGCCCCATCATGGTTGGGGCTGAGGTAAGAAAAAATTGATAATGGCACCTCAAGATAGCCGGAAATGGCATTCTTAGACTTAAATTTTAATATATTAAATTTTCTTTTTTTCTCATTTTTTTTATTTTGAAAAATTTAATTGCGGGGGGGGGGCGGCTTCCCCATCCCCTCCCCCACCTTGAATCCGCCTATGCTGTATCCTCTTGTATTATTGCCATTATGTGTTTTTTATGACTGTCTTTGGAAGCTGGCACATGTTCTAGGGCTGTTTTGAGTGTTAATATGGAAAAACATTTCAAAGAAATTTAGAATTGCAATATCAAGATATTGAATCTACACCTGTAGACTGACTGTTAAGAAAAGAAATATGTGCTAAGTTTACACAAACACTTGCTATGCTACTTATTAAGACCATGTTAATCTTCTGTAAAAAGGAGGCATGGTTCCCAAGCTTTCTCTGACTTAGTCACATGAGAATGGTGTAACTCCGTAATATTGGGGAAAATTTTGATACCAAAAAAGTGTCCTTAATAGGGGTGTCCCATAAAGGAGGGGTTATTTCGTTTTCCAGCAGAAAATGGTCATAGCCCAATTTTGATATCTGTTCTGAGTGATACAGGGTCGATGAACACAAATCCTATTGTCATTATTCTTATTATTTGTTTGTCTTCATATTATCTTATGTACATGCCTAAGCGTCACTCTACCTGAAGGATTGACGGATCATCGGTGTGATTGTATTGTAGGCCTATACAGCAGATGTTACGGTACAACAGGTGATTTGAGAAAAGCCAGGTGTTATCTGCATCGATGCTCACCTGAAAACAACTTACAGGATTTTGTTCTTTTTTTTACATTTTTTTAAAAGCTGAGATGCTTTTCAAATTGGTTTGAAGTTTTTGACAAAATGTTGACATCGGAATATAGGCCAATCTACTATAGGCCTAGTCATGAGGAACTTCTAAACACGGCTACCCACCCGATCCTTCGCCGATCCCAATACATCCTATGGCGGCCGGTCACACCCGGCTCATTTCGTAATTCGTCGAACATTAAACCCAACAAAAAAGTGCAGGATATACGGCGCGTGAATATCATAATGACGATGTTGTCTGGGGACTACACTGCGCCCCTCCCACCCTCGTCGGGGAGAAAAACCACCATTCGTTGGGGAGAAAGAAAATATTGTATGTATTTTGTACATATTACAAACTCTAAAATCTATTAAATAAGCCTTTGAAACCCCAAAATTGTCATATTTTCGGCCCCCTCAACCACTTTCGACAGGTTTTTTTTTAGCGACGTCCGACCATGTCTGCTTTTTTCTCGTCGGGGACATCACCCCCCACCCCCGTCAGGGACTTTGGACCTCCCGTCGGGTAAATCCTGAAATCCTGACACCGCCACTTGCGCTCATAGTCTACAGCTACATGTTAAGTTCACATCATTTCACAACGACAGGAGCTGAAATGACACATAACATCGCACACGAGCTAGATGATACACTGGACTTCCATTTTAAGTCCTTATACGCAGGCCCGTATCCAGGGGTGGGGGGTTTATGGTTCGGGAGAAACCCCCCTTTTCTAGCAAACACCCTCTTTTCTGGCGAAATCCTTAAATTTCCCAAATAAGTCCTCCAACCCAACTGGAATAGCTTACCACAAGAGGTTGTTGCTGCCACAACTGTAAACACCTTCAAGAACAGACTGGACAGCTGTGGGGTCTTAAAGGCGTTTGCCTAACTTTTCCCACTTATATCAAGCAAGTAAGTAAGTAAGTAAGTAACCCATCTAATGCACTGCAGACCCACCCAGACACAGACATTTTCAAACATATCTGCTTCTATAGCATTATTTAGACCCTTAGACCCATAAAGCACAAATCCTCTTGCTTTGGTGGTTTCGCCGACCCCACCGGGGCTTCGACTGTGGACCTCACGCCCAGAACCACCCCCCCCCCCTTTGGATGAACCTGGCTACGGGTCTGATACGGGAAGGCTTAGTTCTACAAACCGAACCCTGGGCGAGGAGCAGCTCGAACCAGCTCCAATGTTAAAGATGTAGTTCGGCGCCTCTGCCTTACCACTCGGCCACTCGTCGCCTATTTATTATGGTTATCACTACAGTACCAAGATTTAACCATTTTTAATCTATTAAGATAAGATAAACTTTAGTCATAACAAGGTTCAATTAAATATTGTTGCTTAATGATTAGAGATTTCTGGTTTCTTCGCCAAGTTAATTTGGGTTTACAACAATACGAAAATGCAAGTCGTCCTTACGCACACGAGAAGTACAGGGAGCATCGCTCTATAAACAAACGAATTAATTTCTAGTGCATAGCCTATTTAGTACTATATGGTGGACAAGATAATAGGGATCGTTCTTTTAACAAGTCTGTTCAAGCATCACAATTTCGCAATGCAATGCGTCATTATTCATCACAACTATTTATAGAAACGGGCTCACCCTAATCAATAGAAAATGTCGATCATATCAATCATATCCAACAGTCCAAGCATCCAAGTAACATCATCAATAACCAACGTGCAAATTGCTTATTCGATAGTGTAGTCATCTCATTATTTTATGCAATTTGTATTGTATGTAAGTAGGCTGTTACTTTGCTCTCCTTTAAATTATTATTGAGTGTAGCCGAGATGAGATAATAAATCATTTTAACTTAGCCGAGATCTTTGTATAGTAAAACAAGGGATTAGATGACAAAAACCTCATACGTGACTATGCCTACAATCTGAGGTATCTGCACCGTGATTTGGCCGTACGTGCCTGCGTAATAATCCATATCCGTTGCGCTTAATCCCGCATCGATACGCAATCAAGCGCAGATACGCCATCATTGATAGCCGGACATTGGTTGCGCATAATTGGTAATCTTGCCAGAACCCCCAATAAATAAGTTAACGTGGTCATTATGATGGTAACGCTTCCCGCTCAAATTTGTGACGTTTAGAATAACCCACCCCAGCAGGAAATTCGATAACCCATTGCTGTAGCGACAACGATCATGAAGCCTTGTTCAACTACCCACCTGCCACATTGAACTACAACATCAATCTGCGTTTATGGGCAGATATACATACCGTATATAATAAATGTGGTTATAGGCATAGACCTACAAAGAATTTGTTTAAGTACTGTAACTACATAGACAATTTAGATTCATAAAATTAAGGTGCAGATGAATTAGATGCCTCTATAAATATATTGAAAATTAAAGACTTTTCGAATACAATTAACTCAAGTTATGCAATATTATTTGCTTACAATATATATATACTGTCTCTTATACACATCTAGATGTGTAAGTGGTTATGTGTGTCCACTTTTTGCTAGTTTTTTTTCATGTACCCTGATGATCATGTACCTTAGGATAGGTCGAAATATTGGTTTTCCCCAATGAAGTTTTTCTAAGTCTATACAGGGTATTCGATATTAAACGCTGGTTAATTTTCTGCAATTTATTTTGAATAGCTCACTAAATGATAAGCCTACTAACATTTATGTTATTTACCACTATACACATTCGTGTATTTTAATATATGCCTATATATAATTATATATGTATATCTATTTATATATGCTTCACAATTATCTTAAAGCGTCCATATTTAAGTATCAACATTAGCACATTCGCATTGATATAAAGGTTGCTTACTGTAACTTTAAGATAAAAAGTATTGTAAACATTACTTTGATGACACAAAAAGTAAAGTAAGTCTTTAACCAAGTTTCTCCTTCTTTAACAGCAGGATCTCCAACTGCACCGCAATCCAGCTCATCATACGCTTTGAGTATTTCGCTTTTATACTCGTTCGGGGCCGTTGTCACTGAAGCCCCGCCTACTCGTGATCCGTACAAAAAGAAGCTAATCCTGTTGAATTCTTTGATTGTTTGAAAAGTACTGGCCAAGGGAAGGCATGCTACTGAGTGTCTAAGCTTTTGATTCTCCACGGAATTATTGAAGGAGAAACTAATGTAGGCCTACGAAAACTAACCAGATAACAAACAAAATTAAGTGAATGTTTTGTCTTGGTGAATTCAGCTTAATAATAGTTGTAATAGCAAAGGGAAGATCATTTGGCAACTAGGAGAAAACGAAGATAAACTAACGTTAGTATTCTGGAGGAGGATATGCATTTGAAAATGGAAATTGAGATTCCATTGTCACGATTGTTCCTGTACACTGTCATTCTGTTGCACTGTCTGAAGCACACATTGTGTATGCCACATAGCTTGGATAAATCAGAAATTGTAACTGATGTATTAACCAGAAGGACGGTAGTGGAAAGTGAATTAGCATCAACCACTCTTGCAACAGTAGCGCCTGCCACCTTGGAGCAGCGCACAGAACTTCTAAACAAAGTTAAATCGAGTAGTAAAAAAACGAAAGGAGCGATACCGGAGGAGGATAGTAAACCATCTATTTCTTCAACGACGCCTATTGAAAATATTTCTGAATTACGGATGGGAACAGAACCCAGAATCAGGCATTCGCATTCAGCAAGGTCAGCAGCCAAGAACAAGAGGAAACCAAATAATTACCAAAAACCGACAAAAATTAAACAAATATACTCAAAATGGAAGATCTTTTTGTCTATCGATAAGGATGGTAAAGTTTTCGGAACAGATTCAAAACATGACCCCAATAGTAAGTATGTATAGTAATCCAGAGTTATGTTCTTCAAAAAGTCACTCTTTATTGGTATGGGTCTTATTGGTATTTAGTCTAAGCCAGTAATCTTGTTTTACTTTGTGCTGAATGTAGGCAAAATCATAATGCATATTTAGAGAATAAAATGTTAACAAAAAATAACAACAAAAATATTACCTAACAACAGTAATTAAGTAGTTGGAAATAACAACAAAATAACAGTACTGTAAATATCTCTTACTGTTTAATCGCGTAGGCTACTTGATGATCCCACATCCATAGGACTAAACTAACCAAGTGAACTGAGGAAGGTCGCTAAACACCAACTAAAAGTGGATCAGTATTTTATAGAAACATTCACAATTGAACACAAATGCTTTTCTAATTGCCCCATTATGTGTTTTAAAGTGTTAAGTGGTTGAACCCGATGTTACAAATTCGAACGAACACTTTCCCAAATGCAATTCAACCGGCATTGCCGCCACTTCACAATACGAATCGTGGGAACAAACGTTTCGAATACGAACGTGTCCAGTTCTATATTAATTTTATACGTTACTCTCAGGTTTTACATAGGTAATCTTTAATTCCATTAAATTAGTATTTTTAAATGATCTGACCGGATTAATCTGTGTTTCAGCACTGGGATCGATACGCACGTAACATTCGCATAACGCGTGTTACGCGAATACTTTGTCTATAGAAGTCAAACCAGATATTTCCAAATTAAATTTTGATATTCTACATATAAAGTAAACATACTGTAAACATAAGTTACAAATGCAATTTATTGCCAGTGTGAAAAGAACTAATGAATATATAATTTTAATTAAACTATGGTTTGATGAGTTGAACTTCCAACAGGATGTATTTTAGTAAATATGACTCACAAAATGACAGTTCTCAACCTTAGAGTTCAGACACTTATCAGAAAAGCATGGATTTCCTCGTCTAACGCCAATTGATGGTTGTGTATCTTGAGTATTGAGTACAGTAAAACTCGGTAATACATTTTTGACTTCGCGTTCAACAACAGCCAGTGTATACTATTGTTAACAAAGCGCGCGAAGGTGCGACCATGTCACGGCAATGTAAGGGGAAATACAAGATATGTTGTAAATCGTTCTTTTAGGAGTCGTGCAGCGGCTTCCATAATCCAAAGGGCCCCCATGTGTTCAAACTAACTGACACGCTTTTTAAAAAAGTGAAACACAAATCAATTTAAAATTGCAAAAGAATTAGACCTAAGTCCTACTAAGCAGATATTAACATTCCGACATGTTGCCGTTGACCTATACGCTGAATTTACGTGGGTCTATGCCAAAGGTGTTTATTTAGTATTGGACTGTTATAGTTGTTCTATCATCATCTTATATAAAAGGCCATAAACAATTAAGTGTACAATTTTCTTAAGTTCTGAACTTAACCAAATTATATAAGTCACTGACTACCATTTATTGTCTTTATGACTCTTGAATGTTACCAGAGTTGTCAATTATGGTAATTACAATCATTATCATATAGTTTTTTTTAATAACAATTGAGGAGATTTGGATTATATGACAATAGTGTGAATAATTGAGCCCAGGCCATGAAAAACGACATTCAGTTTAAAGAGGCCTCGACTTGATAGTAAATAAAAGACAGATTAAGCCGACTGAGATCCCCATTCAGAATACCGTTATACAGATTCAACTGCCGCCCATAGGCTTCTGTTTTTGCTGTCCGAACTAGAAATTGAAAAACAGAACACAATTCTTAGGGTGACGTCAATGCAATGGATTTTCCATCGCAGTAGGCCTATATTTCTCGCCAAACTCACCAGTTGGCCATCACCCGAGAACGGTCAGCAATTCTCCTGCAATTATACAAAGACGGTGCCTGGATAGGCGATTGCAGACAATGGACCACCTCGCAACTGCAGTCATTTATCACAATAATTTATGTAAAATGTTGTTGGATTTTCGTCTGCTTATAAAGATTTGTTGGTTTCAAAACTTTCACAGCTGTACCTCGAGTGTAGGACTGTATAAACTTAGCGACTGTCTTCAAATAATAATAATAATAATAAATAATAATAATAATAATAATAAATAATAATAATAATAATAATAATAATAATAATAATAATAATAATAATAATAATAATAATAATAATAATAATAATAATAATTTGCTTGCTACCTGTAGACCTTCAACTCGACTATATTCGGAATACTATTGTAGAAGGAGTCAATTTATATAAATACATGGTTAATTTAAACAGCGGACTTAAGACAAAGACAAAACGCGGCTGTTCCAGCTTGGTTTACACATTATTTTTTCCATTGTTTACACTAAGAAATGCATTTCGACGCAAATTCATGAAAGTTTACGCCTACGCCACTCACAGCATTTACACGCGTACGCATACCGGTTCTAACGCTATAAGTCTCGGTTCACACTAAAGAAGTAGCATTGTGTGCGTTTGCGTCAACGCGTCAAATTGCTCCCAGTGTGGACCAAGCTTGACGCATTGGTTTACGCG